TAGATGAGAAGTCGCCCACCCCACAGTTCTGGATGCCAGCACTTGTTGCTGCAGCCCAGGTGAAGCCTCCTGCCCACCATCCCCTGTGGCTGCAGCCGGCCTGGGTGCCTATGGCTGACCAGAGGGAGGGAAGCCTGGATCCTGGGTGCCTGTGGTCAGCTGGAGGAGGGAATCCTGGGTCCCAGGTGTGGGACAGAGGTGGTTAGGGGCAATCAAGCCAGCAGGGGAGCAGTTAGGGATAGTCAGGCAGGCAGAAGAAGTTAGGGGCAATAGGCAGGCAGGTGAGTGGTTAGGGGCAGCAGTTCTGGATTGTGAGAGGGATGTCCGACTGCTGGTTATCCCCGAGGGGTCTCAGATTGGAGAAGGTGCAGGCGGGGCTAAGGGACAACCCCCCATGCATGAATTTTGTGCACTGGGCCACTAGTTTTTTTCAATAAAGTGTCAGAGAGTAAATATTTTAGGCAACAACCCACCTCTGCCATCATAGTGTGAAAATAACCACAGACAACACATCACTGTGCTCCAACCAAACTTGGTTATGGACACCAAAATATTTTTTTCTTTTAATACATATGTGTGTTGATTTCAGAGAGGAAGGGAGAGGAAGAGAGAGATAGAAAACTCAATGATGAGAGAGAATCATTGATCATCTGCCTCCCGCATGCCCCACACTGGGGATCTAGCCTGCAACCTAGGCATGTGCCCTGATGGGGAATCAAACTGCAATCTTCTGGTTCAATGCTCAACCACTGAGCCATGCCAGCTTGGCAAATGTAAGTTTCATATAATTTTTATGTGTCCTGAAATATTATTCGGTGCAGAGGAAACACTAATTTTTTTCAGCCAATAAAAAAATGTAAAACCCATTCTTAGTTCATGAGCATACAAAATCAGGCAACTGGTCTTAGTTTTACAACCCCTGCTTTAGAAAACGTTTCCCTAGAAGTAACCATTACCTTGTTCTGAGTATGTGGTCATCTTTATGTGGGGCACTGATGCTGGATTTAAAAGGGGAAAAAAAAAGCATAACTTAAAGACTGTCTCTTGGCTATTCCCAAATACATTATCTTTCTGGCCATGATGGAGCTGAAACAAATGTGTAAGTTTAGAACAGCAAGGGTATACAGAAATTCTCTTCTAAAATGCTCTTATTTACTGTCAACCTTAAGTGATATGAGTGTTTATAGTTTTATATTCTTATCTGTCTATTTTGAAGTTTAATAACTATTTCTTGTATTAATAAAGCTGTTGTAGGAGTAAAGAACAGTGCTTGGAATTCCTTAGATATTAAAACATTTTTAAAATGCCATTTTCTCCTCCTGTGTCCTTGTTTTAAATATTATTGCTATTGGGTCACTCTAGGTGTGCCTCTTGTCCGTCCGCCCGCCTATCCATCCGTCCATCCATCCATCCATCCATCCAGCTATCCGTTGTTGAGCAGTTTCCCTTAAGCATCCCAGAACCCATCAGAGGCTGCCCCTCCTTCCTGCTGCTGCCTGCAGTCCCTCATCCTTGGCACCAAATCTCTGGGGCTCTTGCCTCTCCCGTGACCCTACCTCTTGGTCTGGTCCTTTAGCTTCTCCAGTCCCACCCATTCTTCAATATCCATCTTGGGTTCCCTATATCAAACCTTCCTGGTTGAGCTCTGGCTCATGGATTTTCTCTCTTCTCTAAACTCCCACGGCACTTAGCCCAGAGTACACAATTTAGCACTTAATTATATATTGTCTTTTATTGTTTGCTTTTATTTGTTGTGTCAGTTTTGTCTTTTCTGGTGAGGTTTGCAGACTCCTTGAAAGCAACACATCTTTACTTTTTACAATCCCTCACAGTACTCCTGGAGGGGCACCATCAATACTCCATGTTCTACCAGAGAGTGTTGATTGATAGGCACAGATGTGAGACCTTCTACCCATCTCTGCATTATCTGGTGCTTACGAAATATCTGTCCAATTTATTACACTGAGTTGAGTAATACAGACCAGCTTCAAATATAGTATCACACCATCTCTGCATCCATTTTCTCATCTGTAAAATTTAGATAAAAATGTTTTTCCAGCTGAAACCGGTTTGGATCAGTGGATGGAGCATCAGCTTGTGGACAGAAGGGTCCCAGGTTCGATTCTGGTCAAGGGCATGTGCCTTGGTTGCAGGCACATCCCCGGTAGGGGGTGTGCAGGAGGCAGCTGGTCGATGTTTCCCTCTCATCAATGTTTCTAGCTCTCTATCCTTCTCCCTTCCTCTCTGTAAAAAATTCAATAAAATATATTTTAAAAAATGTTTTTTCAACCTAATGAGAGTTACTGTGAGGCTTAAAGGAGGTAATGTAGCTTTGAACTACACGGATGTTAGGGATTATCACACCTCATATTTCTTTTCGTAGGAGTTATAGGGGAAATTAGGGTTTGGCATTTATCACAAAGAGTGGGTCCCTTTTTAAAAAAAATATATTTTATTGATTTTTTACAGAGAGGAAGAGAGAGGGATAGAGTTAGAAACACCTATGAGAGAGAATCATCGATCAGCTGGGGATGTGCCCACAACCAAGGTACATGCCCTTGACGGGAATTGAACCTGGGACCTTTCAGTCCACAGGCTGATGCTCTATCCACTGAGCCAAACTGGTTTTGGCAGTGGGTCCCTTTTTAATTTTTGTTAGAATGGTGGGTCTTTCTCAGGGAAGCCCAAGTATTGTTGGATGGTAGAAGAGAATCAATATGATTTCTTGGCTTGCAATTTTCCCGAGAAGGTATTACTGTTGTGGAAAATACAATGGTGGTGAGATTTTGAAGTGGAACTTTCCCAGCTAAGTTAGTCTTTGCTGCTCCCAACTTACCTATCCTTCCTGTATCAATCAACACTTTCTTGTCCCAAGCCTACTGCTGTCTTAATTCTCTCCTGGCAGGCCGGAAGCAAAATGTCATGTAAGAAAAACTTAGTGAAGAACTGCCTGCTTTTGGAGCGGATCCTCTCCTCTATTTCATTTCTTTAGATTCCAAAAGGGAATTGTTTGGCCATCATTTACGAATTGACGTAATTTTTCTTTTTTCTTCTTCTGTATCTCCCCACTCCTTAACCATCTGCTGATGTTTTTTTCTTTTTCTGTCCTTGGTCCTTATTTTAGCTGACCCAAATACCAAAGTCTGTATCATTCATGCTATTTCATGAGATGTCGTTTGTTCTTGTTGTAAAATCAAAGTACTTCTTTGTTAAATGAATTATTTTACACAATCTAAACTTCAATGTAGTTACAATTGTGAAACATTTTTATAACAAGGATGGACTGATTTTTAGATTTCCAAATGAGAATCAACTTTACATTTACACAGAATTGTCTTTGTATGAAGCCCAAAAGGGAACAGCATAAAAACGAGTGTTTCTGTAGCCCCCTTATTTTTGCTGATCAACAGTTTGTTATAAGAGCAGCTACAGTTTGCTACCTAAGGCCTGAGACAGTGGAAGAGTCAAAGGTGTCATGAATTCACTTGTAAACAACTTGATGCCGAGACATCAGCTGATTCTGGAGGAGGTGGAGTCTTAGGATGCTTGCTCTCAAAGGGCTGCTTGAAGGTCTTAGGGTCTGGCCTTTGTGTCCTACAGACAGTGCAGGTATATAGGAAGGCGGCTTTGGCAGCAGCCTTTTAGTCCTGTCCTTGTTTCTTCTTTTGCCCAGATTGCTTTTTTGTCATTTTTCTGCTGAGACTGAATCTTCTGCTGTCCACGAGCCACATCCGGGCTGGGACAGTCTTGCTTCTGAGAGCAAGAAGGGGCAGGGGTGGGGGAGATGGGATGGGGGATGGGGAGGGTGATGGGGAGGGGGGATGAGAGAACAGGGAGGTGTCTGGAGACAGAGGAAAGGGGAGAGTGCCCATGACCCTTTGGGTCTCCTCCACACACTGAGGCGGGGAAAGAGGAGCCACCCACCGCCGCCTCAGCCTTGGGAAGGCCACTCGAGATGTTTATTTATCCTCTGGGTTAGTGTTTCCCAGAGAGGCTCAATGCATGTACACGTGCAAGTCTTTCCAGGGCCCCTTTTTACTCCCATTACTCGTCTTGTATATGAACTAACCAATGTCATTCCTTTTGAAGGCTCAACTCCAGCTTTGAGCCCTCTCTCAGAAAGTGGCCTAACCTCGTGGCCACCCTGAACGCGATGGGGAGTCACTGGGATCTCAGTCGCAGGAATATCTCCATCCTTCAGCTTTCTAGGCCCTAACCAGCACAGCGGTGGAGACGGGGACGCCTCATTTCCCTGGCGCGGTGGTTCTCTTTCTGGAAGGCACTTGTTCCAGCATCTTAGGGAGCACAGAGCTTTCTCTCCGCTGAAAAGAGCCATTCTAGCTGAAACCGGTTTGGCTCAGTGGTAGAGCGTCAGCCTGCGGACTGAAGGGTCCCAGGTTCGATTCCTGTCAAGGGCATGTACCTTGGTTGCGGGCACATCCCTAGTAGGGGGTGTGCAGGAGGCAGCTGATCTATGTTTCTCTCTCAGTGATGTTTCTAACTCTCTATCCCTCTCTCTTCCTCTCTATAAAAAAAAATCAATAAAATATATTAAAAAGAAAAGAGCCATTCTGCAGGTGGGTCCCCTCCAGGCCAGGCCAGACAGCAAAGACCCCCCCCCCCCTCCCTGAGGTGCACGGGGTGCTCCTAGGACCTTGGCCCAGCCCGCTGCTGCCGGTCGGCGGGGCGGAGCCTGTGACCCCCGCGGGCGGGAGGTGCGCGGTATTTTTCACCAGGTGAGGTGGGGGCGGGGCCGGGGGCGGGGCCAGGGCGAGACCCCGGGCTCCGATTGGCCCGCGCGGCGCCTGTCTCCATGTGCCGCGCGGCGGAGGCACAACATTGAAGCCGGGGGCGGGGCGGCGGCGGAGGGAGAGGCCGCGGCGGCTGCGGGGCGTGGGGGCGGCGGCGGCCGAGGCCGAGGCTTCGGTGGCGGAGGCTGCGGGGAAGGCGGCGGCGCCCCGATCGGGGACAGCGCTCTGACGGGCCCTCCTCCAGGTCTCATGGAGGCGGCGGCGGGCGCGGGTTGCGGCTCCGGGCCGCCGCTGCTGCTGAGCGAGGGCGAGCAGCAGTGCTACTCCGAGCTGTTCGCGCGCTGCACCGGCGCGGCAAGTGGGGGCCCAGGGTCCGGCCCCCCCGAGGCCGCCAGAGCCGCCCCCGGCGCGGCCACCGCAGCTGCGGGGCCCGTGGCCGACCTGTTTCGGGCGTCGCAGCTCCCCTCCGAGACCCTGCACCAGGTAGGTCCCCGTGCCCCTGCGGCCCAGGGGATCATTTGTGTAGGGACAAGGGGTGGGGCAACAGGGCTGCTCACGGGGACCCGGAGGCCTCGGGCAGGTGGCAAGGAAGGGGCTTCGCAGCCGGATCGGAGACGAAGCCCTTGTTCCCCGGGGGACACCAGCTTCCTCTGCAGCATGCCATGCTGGGTGCGCTCAGCGTCCTCCTCCCTGAGCCGGACGGCGCTCCCTCCCATCCTCCAGCCATTTCTGGGGCTCTGAAGCCACCCAGACCCAAAGTTTGCCCTGTTCTGGAAGCAGTTTTTTTTTCTTCTTTTTTTTGGCTGGTGTCTGCTTTAACCTCTGCTCTGGGCTCCTGCCCTTCCCTCTCCTGGGTGGGTGGGAAAGGGTGCCTTGCTGGGATTTGAACTTGAAGGATGTGTGATGTGTATGTCTCTAGGGCCGGGGGCCCAAGACTAAACGTTGCCTCTCTCTCTACGTATATATCTATCCTATCTATTGCCTACTAACGTATTTCTGAAAATTGGTATGAAACTGGAAAGGCATAGTGACAAGTTGCAGAGCGTGGACAAGGGCTGTAAGAAGACATCTGTCAGGACAGAGCAAGCTTCCAATTTAGGGCTAGAGGTGGACGCCAAGGTCCACTGTGGGGGACAGCTGTATCACCCATGTCATCATCGCCTGGACTTGGGAATAGAATTGGAAAGTGACGTGTGTCACAGCTACCTCTTTTGGCTGCTCCCAACCTGGGAGATGAGGAGGGGATGATCCACAGCAGATGCTGTTTTTGTTTTGTGCTCTCCTTGGAGCTTGGAGAGAGACAACTTGATAAGCACATTGTCTTTTGATGTTCCCGGCACGAAATGGTCCTGAGAGACTTCCTATCAGGTCCAAAACATGAAATGAAGCTTTTGCTACAAGCAATAGCCAGCATGAGGTTAGTATCCATGGAATATTTAGAGTGGGGAGTGGTACTTTAAAATCTAATTCCAGAGGTGCACCGAGGGTTTTATGGCTCACTTGCAATATCATTGTCTGTAGATATTACCGCCCGAGCATGATTATACTTGTATGTGAGCGGAACTTTAGCCATGCTGTAATCTTTCACCTTTTAGCATTCAGGATTTCGGAAAATATAATTAGTATTCACAGAATTGAGCGTGGCTGATTGTCCCTTAAAAAGTCCTTGAAAATGGTGATGGAGCCAGGACCGGTTTGGCTCAATGGTTAGAGCATCGGCTTGGGGACTGAAGGGTTCGATTCCAGTCAAGGGCATGTACCTTGGTTGCGGGCAAATCCCCAGTAGGGGGTGTGCAAGAGGCAGCTGATCGATGACTCTCTCTCATCGATGTTTCTAACTCTCTATCTCTCTCCCTTCCTCTCTGTACAAAAATCAATAAAATATATTAAAAAAAGAAAAGAAAATGGTGATGGAAGGAGACTTGACTGGGGCTGGTAAACACAACACAGTATACAGAGGATGTATTGTAGAAATGTATACCTGAACCTGTATTATTTTATTAACCAAGGCCACCCAATACATTTGAAACATTCCTTGATATGTAGATAGCTCTGCCACTGCTGTGGAGCAGTTGAGTTGGACCAGGTAGAGGAGAAGTCGGTGCCTTCAAACACAAACCGTGCCGAAAGCACTCAGTGGATAGAGCGTTGGTCTGCGGCCCAGGTTCGGTTCTGGTCAAGGGCATGTACCTTGGTTGCGGGCACATCCTAAGTAGGGAGTGTGCAGGAGGCAACTAGTCGATGTTTCTCTCTCATTGATGTTTCTAACTCTCTATCCCTCTCCCTTCCTCTCTGTAAAAAAATCAATAAAATATATTAAAAAACAACAATAAACCCCCCCAACCGTGGTTATTACATCAGGCCCTCAGAATACTCCCAAGCATAATCAATTGATTAAATGCTGTCAGTCCTTCTCCACTCAGAGGAATAAGTGACAGACCGCACAGCAAGGGACAGCTAGGCACCTATGAAGGCTTATGCTGTTGTTAGTGATGCAGGGAGTGTGAGAAGGGGTGTATATTAAATCTGAGTATGTTGGTTGACTGCTCCTTAGGAGTTGGGGAGAGGGCTTTCCTGGTGTTAGAACCCATGCTCTGGTGAGGTATGGGTAATTTAAGAACTCAAGGCACAGTGCCTTTACATGAATGAAATTCTATTCTTGATGCTCAGTGGAAATCTGCTTGCAAAAAGACCGGCAAAAGGGGACCATCAGATTGCTTGTAGTACATCTCAGAGCTTTAAGCTCCCCCTTTCAGCCAGCAAAACAAAATGCACCCTTTTCTATTAATCTAACACAATCAGAACACTCCAGTATTCCTTTTAGAAAAATACGTTTTTATTGATTTTCAGAGAATGGAAGGGAGAGGGAGAGAGAGACAGATCAATGATGAGAGAGAATCATCGATCAGCTGCCTCCTGCATGCCTGCACTGGGGATCGAGCTGGAAACCCACGCAAGTGCTCTGACCAAGGGAATGGAATCATGACCTTTTGGTTCATAGATCAATGCTCAACCAGCTGGGCTCCAATATTGTTTTTACAGGTGAAAATGAACAGGAAAGGCATCCTGGACAGGGAAATGTAATTGGAAGAGATTAAAACAAAGCCAGCAGCCAACAGCCACTTAGTTTTTACCAACTACTTTGGTGTTGTGTGGTGATATGTGTCTGAATATGTATATGTATATGTGCACACACATTCTTTATTCACCTGAGTTGCACTACACTATAGGTATATTAGTTTTTCTTTCTTAGTTTCTTTCTCTCTTTCTCCCTCTTTCTTTCACTCTTTCTTTCTTTCTTTCTTTCTTTCTTTCTTTCTTTCTTTCTTTCTTTCTTTCTTTCTTTCTTTCTTTTTTTCAGTTTTCAATATGTTTTTATTGATTTCAGAGAGATGTAGGAAGAGGGAGAGAGGGATAGAAACATCAATGCCAAGAGAAAAATCACTGATCAGTTGCCTGCTGCATGCCCTCTCCTGGGGATGGAGCCCCAAACTGGGACTCGAATCCTGACCTCCTGGTTCATGGGTCAGTGCTCAACCACTTAGCCACACTGGCTAGGCAACATTAGCCATTCTTTAAAATATTTAGATGTAAGTTCAGGATTAAGTGGCCCAACAGGTATAACTGCTCAAATCATGAAAGCACTAGCTAGCTCAGATAGTTTCTATAGTAACAGTCAGATGTTCTCCTTAATAAGCATACAATTAAGATTACCATAATGTTTCAGGAAGGGTGAAAATCTTATCTGGATTAAGTGTTCTATAAAAATACTTCATTTTAGTTCTTACCATTGCAACAGCATGGATGGAACTGGAGAGCATTATGCTAAGTGAAATAAGCCAGTCAGAGAAAGAGAAATATCACATGTTCTCCCTCATTTATGTAATATAATGAACAACATAAAATGGATGAACAAAAACAGATCCAGAGACAGAGAAGCATTGATCAGACCATCAAACCTCAGAAGCAAGGGGATAAGGGAGAGAAATCAACCAAAGGACTTGTATGCATGCATATAAGCCTAACCAATGGACACAGACAACGGGGGTGGGTGGGGGGTGAGGGCATGAGTGGAGGGGTTAGTGGGAATAATGGGGGAATAAGGACACATATGTAACACCTTAATCAATAAAGAAATTAAAAAATAAAAAAATAGAAAAAGACTTAATTTTGTCTTCTTTGAATAAAACAAACTACTACACCTGCTACTTTGTTATGAAAGTGAATTATTTTAGGAATATTTTTCAGTTGAAATATATAATATTTAATATATATATATATATATATATATATATATATTAGTAGACTTTATTTATTCAGAGCAGTTTTGGGTTCACAGAAAAACTGAGGGGAAGATACAGAATTCCCATATACCCCTCACCCCTACACCTGCACAGCTATTCCCATAATCAATATGCCCCACCAGAGTGGTACATTTGTTACAATTGATGAACCTACATTAGCACATCATAATCACCCAGAGTTCATAGTTTACATTATGATTCACTCTTGGTGATGTGCAATCTATGGGTTTGGGCAAATGTATAATGACACGTATCCATCATTATAATACCATACAGTGTATTTTCACTGCCCTAAAATCCTGTATGCTCCCGTCTCTGTGCTTCATCTCTTCCTCATACCCCCAGCCCTTGGCCAGGGCTCATTGTTCTTTTAGTTTGCAATTCCCTAATGACATAGGATTTTGAGTATCTTGTCATGTGCTTATGTGCCACCTTGAACTATTTTAATGCATCAAAATAGCCTATTTTAAAAGGCCTGTAGGACCCTTTATAGAGTATTTATGCTCATGTGCTGCTTTATTTTAAAAGCAGGATTTCAGTGTTAGCTAGAAAAATGGTAGAATGAAACACAAGTTTAAAAAGGAGAATATCAGTGTCTGAGAAACAGGTAAATAGTTTTTGTTTAACACTTTAAGGCAAAGAACTAGACACGTTGGAGTGATGGGTTTCCCAGGTTGTGAAGTATCTCGTTGGTATTCAATGGCTAGTATTTTACTAGAAGACACAGGGTGTGTGGGAATCAGGATTAGGTTGGAAGAGTATTTGAGTTTTGAGTTCCTATTGTGCATCAGATAGACACTGTTCTAGCTCCTATCGTTATAGCAATGAATCAAATACAAATCCCTGTCCTCATGGAGCTTACATTCCAATGCCAATGTTTTTCTTTTTCAGTTTGAGTAAGAAAATATTTGAAATATGGCTTCTAGAAAAAAATGTTTACCTCAAACTGGCAACTTTTGGGTATGACATAACGAATGAATAGACTGTATAGATTCCTTTATATCTAGCTCTTAGGATGGTATCTTAGTCTCTGGGGATGCTGTGCATATTTCAAGCAGTCATTTATTTTTATGATAGTTAACATTTTTGTTTTGTTTTGAAATAATGCTTTTATTTTTCATTGAGGTATAATTGACATATATGGCATTATGTTAATTTCAGGTATACAACACAATGATT